ACTTCTTTGACTTGGTAAGAATCTGAGGAGCCTTCCTTTCTAAAGGAGGTGCTGCCCAAATTTTTACTAATTCAGGGAGTTAGCCAAAATTGGGCCCTGAAGGATCAAAGTCACTTTCTGATTCCAGACTTGGCCTTGTATAAATCTTGGACTAGCACTTTCTCTACGGGAAGCGCTGCCGAAATTTCTACAAATCTACGGAGTTGGTTGAGATTCTATCTGACAGAACTTAGGCGTTGTCTAAATTCAATTCTGACTTAGTATGAATCTGGGAAGCCTTCCTCCCTGAGGGGAGTGCTGCCCAAATTTTTGCTAAGCCAGGGAGTTAGACAAATTTTGGCTTCTGGAATCCACAAGTTTGACTTTTAGGTTATATTTTCTGCGATGTCACTTTTCCTACGGGAAGCGTTGCCGAAATTTTCCTAAGTTACAGGAGTTAGCCTATATTTAGACAGGTGGCGACATATGTAGGGGAGGCTATGGCGAAATCCACCTTTACGCTGAGTGCTAGCTAGGCGTAGACTTAGGCTTAGTCAGATATGATGACTAAGTAAGATCAGGATATGAAAATTACTCCCCCGGGACGCATAGACTTAGTTTGAGGTTGGCCTGTCTTGTGTTACAGGTCGCTTTGATCGGTCGCGTCAGGGCGGGGACTAGACTCAGTTGATCCTACAAGGATCTCTTGTTGTTATCACAGATAAAAGTCGGTTGCCGATTCGTCGGTTTACGACTCAACCTCAACCCACTCTCCTTACTCAACCTAAAGAGGTTTCAGCCCCGGTGATCTTTTCTATTTTGTTAAGGTTTCACCCAGACTTTTATTGAATGGCCATTTAACGAAGGTACTGAGTATTTACTTAAGGTTGGTTGGCTGGTGGTTGGGGCTTGCATGGCTGAGGCAAAGGGTATGAGCATGGAGATTGGTTGGAGTTGACTCCGTGTAGTGTATGGACTTCTGCTTGACTCTTTGATGTGATTGCAGGTATGTTCTGTGACTTGGATTATTGGATTGGACTGCCCTGCGATCTTATATGTGTGCATGAGGAGACCCACCGTGATTGTGAGATGTGATCGTCACACGTTTATTCCCATATGTATATATATGTGTGTATACGTGTATGTATGCGTACCTATGTAGGGTACTTGTGTGGCCTGAAAGGTCCGCGTGCTAAGGACCTAATCCGGGGTTGGAATGAATAGCAGGGAGGGGATGACCCCTCTATTTATATATACGCGTCTGAAGAAATTGTGGTCAGATGTTAGCCCTGAGCGTAGAATACGATGGTCCTCGCCCAGGACGACCCAGGTCCCAGGACTAGCTCTGAAAAGGTTCACTTCCGATAAAAGTCGAAGGAACTTTCCTTGTTGGGATTTATTTTGGTGGAACGATAAAGTTCCGGGCGGAAGGGTCAGCGTGTCGTTGGTGATGCGCCAGACAACTCACCACCGCTCCAAAGCCCTTCCCGCCCTAGGGACCGTCTTACCCCGCACCCTTTGGGACACCTCAGGGTGCGGAAGGCGGTAAAGCCCTCAGGCCGGTTTTGCGCCCGCTAAAGGGTTACCCCCCGTAGCGCGCACTTCAGCCGACGCCTGAGCATCGGAAGCAGCCGCATGACTCGGAATAGGCCATTTGGATATGGGCACCACATAATGCGCCGTCGTCGCAGTTACTCACGTAGAGCTGCATAGTGAATTGGCATGCGTGGATCCTACGTTCGAGCGATCTTATACTAAACCTCGCGTGCGGCAGTTACTGACATCCACTGCGTGAAGTTATGGGTTGGATACAAAGGGACTAGGAGTGTGTCGTGTTGTACGTCCTTTGTGTCGTTCAGTACTCGTGTGCGTGTGTGCGCGTATTTTACTTTTGTGTACCTTGTAGTGGTGTGTGCGTGGCGCATGGGATACGTCCTAGTCGACCGGCGACGAGCCGCACTTGGGACCTCAGCCCCCCCAAGATATCGGTTCACGTGCGGGTCCGATAGAGGCGTAGTACCGCACGTACCCCTTATGCTACAACGAACGAGAAACGCCCTTGGCTGGTCCACCTCTGCGATTGCAGCTGATCAACTTTCATACTGTGGACTGGTAGCTCGGCGGGGATACGCCCACCGAAGGGAGGTGACAACTCCCGTAAGGTGGAGGTAGTCGTGCCTCGCGTAGGCCCTGTCCTGTCGTAGGGGCTCGCGAGAGGTATGGCTGGCTGCACCCGGCCGGAGTGGCTTACGAAAACTCCGTGTACATATCGCAAAAGGGATGTATATTCTGACTCCTGCGTGACGTGGCCGGGAGGGTCCCGCTATGAGTGGTGTCGGGCCGATGCGCGCGACAGGTGGCGCCGTTGCCGGGGATGACGGTTGCCTGCCGTTGTCCCTGGTGGAACGACATCCGGGTATTAGGATAAGGAAGAAATCAGGCATGAGTGGGAGATTTGAGGTAAAGCGTATAAGTTGGACTATAGGAGGGATTGTATGACTATAGTAGCTATGTGGGAGAACTCACAGCTTAGGTAGACCTTGTGAATGAAGGAAAGGGACGTGGGTGTCAGTTAAAGTCTGAAACGCCCAAGGGCTAAGTGGTTAGCCCGGTAGGCTTATGCTGGAGTGAGAGTGCTGAATAAAGTTGCCTTTGTACCCCGTCTTACTACAGGGAAGTTAAGTGAAGGAAGAGCTGCTAAAATGACAGGCGGCATAGGCGACAGTTCAGGCAAGGTCCTGACCCTCGATGACCTCATCGAGGCGATGGACAAGCGGGAGAGAACGCCGAGAAGTGTCCCCAAAGTCGACACCTTCCACTTCAATGGGGAACGAGTCTCTGAGTGGCTGGACCTAGTGGAGCAAGCCTTGGTGGGAGTACCAGACGAGACGAAATTCAAACGCATCCTACAGTATGTGCTCCATAAGCACCACCCGGAAGTGCAGAAGGTGGTCGACGACGCTAACGGCGACTGGGCTAAATTTAGGGAAGGAATGCAGCGGAAGTATAGGTTGGGGGATGGCCTGCTGACTATGGCGGACCTAGAGGCAATGAATAGGGACGACTTCACCACCATTGGGGCATTCCTGCAAGAATTCAAAAAGAAGGCGAGAAAGGTATATGGGATATCAGAGGAGGTGCAGTGCGTCGTCTTCCTGGGGCTGCTCACCGCATCTGAGACAGTTGAGCTAACAAGCCATGGGGGAGGAAATGCCAAACTTACCTGGGCCACCATTGACAGAGGGGTGGAGGTTGGAGGCCTCGACCAGGTCGAGCAGCACCAGGTGAGACTGCAGAGGCAGAAACGGAAGGAAAGGGATGCGGCTGGATCACCAGGAGTAAAGAAGATCATAACCGACGTATTAGCAGGGTTAGACCCGGTGATACAGCGGAAGGTGACGGTGGCGGTCCAGGAAAAGGGCAAGGAGGCCGTGGTGGAGGACGCTACCCAAGAAGGATGGGAAGAGGAGGAACCGGTACCTCCTCACCTTACGAAGGCGCGGCGTAAGCAGCGCAATCTAGCACAAGGCGGACAAGGGTCAGGAAAGGGCTAGGCGCCTCAAGTAGTGGTAGCGGCATCTCCAAGTTCGTCCGGGTCGTCTAGTAGTGCGGGCTCGTCGCAAGCACCAGTGCCACCATGTGGGCACTGGCCGTGGCCCCTAATTAATACCTACGTACCCTGGGGTGGCCCAGCGCCGTCTGGACAGGTAATACCCTATGTTGGGCCCCAGGCAAGTATGCCACCTCCGAGCTACCCCGCCGCCCAGACTCAGCCAGCGGTACCACCTACGCCAACGCCCACACAAAGTTCGCAAGGCAGTGTGGCGGGTGGTGGTAATCAAGGCCAAGGGAACCAAGGGAATGGAGGAAGGGGCGGTGGATGAGGACGCGGCAGGAATGGCGGTGGCCGAGGAGGCCAATGGGGCAACCAAGGTGGCCAAGGCAATAAAGGTGGCCAGGGAAACCAAGGGAATCAAGGTGGTGGAAGGGTTCGTTTTGACTGGAGAAGTGCCATATGTCAGCATTGTGACCAGCAAGGTCACACTATACGGTTTTGCAATATCAGGCGGGAGGACGAGAAAAATGGACTGATTTATTATAATATGGATGGGGACATTTACGACCAATTTGGAGATTTTATTGATAGAAAGGCTGGTGGGGTTAGGCGGAGGCCCAATGCAGGTTGGCAGCACGACAGCCACCCCCTGCCACGTTCAAGCTATGGCAGGAGAAGGAAGAACTGCCAATTGCAGTTGAGGAGGTAGGGAGTGACGAGGAAGTGACCCAGAGGCTACAGGCCGGGGATGCAAGAGAGAAGCCTATAATCATCGAGTCGGACGATGAGGGTGGCGATGAAGAGGTAGAGCGGGCAGGAGTCCTGCTGAAATAAGATGGAGGACTTATTGGATAAGGTAGGGAGATACCAACGGAAGTTGGTAGATCTCTGCGAGGGAGTGAAGGAGTGGAGGGTTAACCTCCCCAAGGTCTTTCTTTATGACTCTGGTCCGGAATCCATGCCAGGGCGGCCCGGAGTGACCACTATGGGGACGGGCCCGCGATCAGGGATGATGACTAGGCCCCCTACCCCACAAGCTAGGCTGGCCCAGGCAGCCCGCACCTGAAGTCAGGCCAAGGCCGGTGCAAGTCAAGAACCTCCCCGGAAGGAACCAGAATCAGAGAAGAGAAAGGAAACAGTGGAAGTGGAAGATGATGACGACGATGAAGAGGAGGATGACAAGCTACGTCAGGAAGAAGATCAGAGGGCCGAGCAACGAGCCAAGAAGAGGGAGAGTCGGGGAGCAGTTGAACCAGTCGTGCGGGACGTACCGCCAAAGAGGAAGAAGTACGCGGTTCGGTTAGAGGAAGGATTTGATGTAGAGCGAGTGATTGACAGGCTGCTTGAGGGCCATAATGATTTAATGACCCTCAAGGAGATCCTGGCTTCTACGCCAAGGCTCCGCAATGAGTTGAAGGGTAGGCTGTCAAGGCGACTGGTGCCGAACGTTCACCTCAGCGTGATCCTACCCAAGGAGATGGAATGGGCAGAGCCAGGGACGAAAATGGATTGGAAATGTGTGGCTTGTGGCGTGGTGGATCTAGCGGTGAAAGGCTCTAAGTGCACGGCCATGGTTGATACGGGCGCTGAAATGAATATCATCCGAGAGGCCGACGCCGTCAGGTTTGGACTGGAGATAGATCGCTCGGACTGCGGTATCCTGCACGGGGCCAACAACAAGGCTGTGTTTTGTGGAACAGCCTCGAATGTGCTATTGGAGATTGGCAGGGCGAAGGCGCGGGCGTGTTTCTTTGTGATGCCTGATGTGGACCACAGCCTCCTCCTGGGGAGGTCCTTCCTATGCACGACGGAGACTTTGATGTATAATAAGCATGATGGGTCGTTGATCATGATTTTATGTGATCCAGCGTGCGGGAATTACGAAGTGGTTACCTGCCGGAACACTGGGTCAAGGAGCCTCAGGAACAGGCCCAACCCTGGCTCTTTCACGATTGAGGAGTCAGAAGACACGCATCGGAGGTTTATGGCAGAGCCCGAGGAGGAAGTAGAAGGTGAAGCCTTCTCACTCAGCCTGTCGGATGTGGGAAAGGCCATGGATATAGTGGCCACGCACGAGATGGTCGACCCGGATGCCATTCAGGCGCTGAGGGAGCAGGTTCTGGAGTATCCCCAGATAGGGGAAATGGAGTTGGTATACCGGCTTCCTAAGGGGGTAATGGATCCGGCGGTGGCGCAGGCACAGGCACGAGCGGCAAGTCAGCCTTTTTTAGAGGCCGGCTCAAGCAGGGTGTCCAAAGGCGGTACAAAACGATAGACAAAAAGTGCCGCCCAGTTCCCGTTCTGGTTACCGAGGACGAGGAGGTGTACTACGAACGGGAGCGAGCGTTGATACGGCGGATGAGGGAAAGCGCGTCAGAAGGGCCATGCCGTATCAATGAGGAGAACGAAGGGAAGTTGATAGTGGGAGAACCGGACTTCCTACTACCTCGGGAAAGAGCCCTGATGGTGGAGCTGATGAAGAAAAGACATTGCGCCTATGCATTCAACGACGAGGAGCGTGGCAGGTTGGATGTGGACAAGATTCCAATGATCCGCATCCATACCGTGCCGCACGAGCCATGGAATCTAAGAGGGGCGCGATACCCAGATCCGGACGAAGAGAAGAAGGTAGTGGACTACCTCGATGGCAAAATACGTATGCACGTCGCCGATTACTCGAGCGGACCCTATGCATCCCCGTGGTTCTGTTTTATTAAGCCCAACGGAACGCTAAGGTGGGTGCACGACTTGCAGAGACTGAATGCGGTGACAGTGCGGGACGCAGGTGGGTTACCAAATGCTGATGCGTTGTCGGAATCATGCGCTGGGAGACCGATAATTTCACTTATTGACCTCTATTCCGGATATGACCAATTTCCGGTCTACCCGCCAGACCGACCAGTGACAGCTATGCACACACCTCGAGGGCTTATCCACATGAATGTGGCTCCACAAGGGTGGGCGAATGCGGTGGCAATGGTCCAGAGGAATATGATCCGGGTCATGCAGACAGTTAGTCCACACATCACGCAGCCGTACATTGATGACCTGGCAGTGAAAGGGCCGCGAAAAAGGGAAGACGATGAGGTCCTGCCTGGAGTAAGGCGGTTTGTCTGGAGGCACGTTCAGGATCTTGATAAAGCCTTAGGCTTGCTTGAGGAGTACAACCTTTCGGCCAGTGGGCCTAAGTCTAAGCACTGTATGAGGGAGGCGACTATCTTGGGGTTCGTCTGTAATGAGAATGGTCGGCGGCCGGATGTTAAGAAGACGGATAAGATAGTTGAGTGGCCGGTGCCATTCTGCTCTGTAACAGATGTAAGGAGCTTCCTGGGTAAGTGTGGGTTCTGGAGGTCCTTCGTCAAGAACTTTGCGGCAAAGACAGAGCAGTTAAGGAAGCTGGTCCGGCAGGATCAGGAGTGGACCTGGGGTGAGGATCAGGAAGAGGTTGTGGCCAACATGAAGGAGGAGTTCCGGGAAGGAGGGTTGGTACTGGGTGCGCCTGATTATGACGCCACGGAGACGAGACCGTTCATTGTGGAGACGGATGCAGGACCGACGGCCTTGGGTGGAGTTCAAATCCAAGCAGACCTCAAGGGGAAGGAGAGGCCGTTGCGCTTTGAGAGTCGCACGCTGTGTACGTCAGAAAGAAACTACTCTCAATTCAAGAGGGAGACTCTCGCCGTCCTTCATTGCTTGCGGATTTTTCGAAACTACATCTTCGGTAGGAGGTTCATCTTAAGGGTAGACCCAACGGCTCTGGCTTTCTCCCTGAGGAATTATGTTCCGTCCGATCCAACAGTTGCCAGGTGGTTGACCTACATCTGGATGTTCAACTTCGAGTTGGAACGGATCCCAGGGAACAAGAACAGGGCAGATGGGCTAAGTCGCATCAACTGGGATAGGCACGACGGGGAAGCTGTAGAGGATACGCCCCCTATTGATGGCTTTCTGGACCAGGACGAGGACCTCCGCCTCCACATCAATAAGTGGTCCCCACGAGTCCCCAGCTGCGTTGACCATCCTATCTGGCACGCGCCTAAGGGGTATGAGCGGAAAGTTGGGTTGGTGCTCAAGCCTTTCGAAGAAGAGGATCCCTGGGGTGGTAAGGACGTCCAATTGATGACCAAGTTGGCACTCGCCGGTAGCCATTGTATGGTGCATGAGGTACTGACGATAGAGGAGGGCCCGGATAAGGTAAAACGTCACGAGGAATTAATGGGAGGGATGTACCTCCTCGTCAATGCACTTCTGCAGGAGTCCCTTGATCTGGAAAGCTCACTAAACCCGGCCGAAGGAAGAGGCACGGTGTTGGAGAGCCAGGATGACGAGTTTGAAGAGGGAGAGATCAAGGAGGCATTCCGTGCAGAGGAGTATGAAGGGATTTACCTAGAGTTGGGACTTCTCTTATCCTGCGAGATGCGTGATAGAGACGCAAGCCATAGGGCGCAAATGATGAGGGATCGTTACCTAGTAAGGGACGGTCATCTCTTCGTAAGAAGGAAAGTAGGAAACCCCAGGCGGGTGGTATGTGGTCGCAACCGTCAAATCGACGTCATAGCAGCGCTTCACGATGGCATTGAAGGCGGACACCGGGGAATTACTGCCACATATGCCAAAATAAGTGAGTTATACTACTGGGACGGGATGATGGAGATGGTTGGGAAATTCTGCCGTTCCTGTGTGCCGTGCCAGGAGCAGTCTTGTCTAAGGCCAGGAGAGCCACTGCATCCAAGGCTGGAGAGAGAGGTCGGGGCCGTAGTACACCTCGACTTGTTGTTCATGCCCCTTGGAGATCATTGCTACAACTATATCTTCGATGCGCGCGACAACCTATCTGGCTTCGTAGATGGACGGGCAATCCGTACGAAGACTGGGCCAGTTCTGGTCAGCTGCATCGAGGAGTATTACCTACGCTACCCGTTCGTTAGGGAATTCGTAATGGACAGGGGGTCGGAGTTCACGTGTCAGGAGGTGCAAGAGTTGTTGTCAAGATATGGGGTAGTGGCTAACTACACCACGGCCGCCCACCCACAGGCAAATGCTCCGGTGGAAAGGGGTCATAGTACCATTACGGCACAACTAGCAAAATGGACCGAAGGTAAGCCCAGCCAGTGGCCGAGGTATCTGAGGGCCGCCTTCTTCGTTGAGAACATCACAGTGAAAAGGACCACTAAGTACGCGCCGGCCACACTGTGGTATGGAAGACATGCTACCTTTCCAATCGAGAGCTTCCTAAAGACTTGGAGGCGTCAGGACTTGGAGGTAAATCTGTCTTTCAAAGAATTGCTCGATATTCGAGCTCGGCAGGTGGGCACGATTGAGGAAAGGGTCCAGGAGGCATCCGACCAGGTAGAGAGGAGCCGTATGGACGATAAGGCTCGCTGGGATCAGTCGGCTCGTGTACGAAAGGTACCCTTGGTAGTTGGGGACGTCGTGCTCTTGTATGATTCATCCCTGGAAAAACAATGGTCCAGGAAGCTGGACAAGAGGTGGTTAGGTCCCTATCGAATCGTGCGATGCGGAGAGTTCGGCGCATACCAGATCGAGGAGCTGAATGGAGCAGAGTGGAAAGACTGGGTGTCAGGGACGAGGTTGAAAAAATTCGTGGCCAGAGAAGAGGTGAGATAGGCAACCCAGTCCCCTTGGAATGGAATAGATGGGTTGTAGATTAGGAGGATTGCTTGGGGCATGTGCTTGGTTTGGCCTGAGTGTGTCTCTTCGTCGCCTGTTTGCTTACCCCGGCGCGTGCCTGTTGTCTCCTTCGCCTGTTGTGCAGGACGGACTTGCAGCCATGCCAAGAGGAGGGAGGGGGACACGGCCACCACGACGGCCGGCGGGAGCATCAGAAGGACATGGACGGCATGGGCCTTACCGTCGAGCAAGCACTCCAGTATATAACGATGGGGATATCGAGTTATTCATGGACGAGTTCTGGAGCCACGCTGACCATATGGGGTGGACCGTGACTCAGACGATCGAGAGGTTGAGGGGAGTTGGCAGGTTTATGGAGCCCATCGCACAGATTCGTAGGGAGGCTCGAACGAGGTCGGAAGTGGAGGCGCGGATGCAAGAGCTGCGACCGTCGCCTGTGGGGCCTGATGGAAGACCTATTCGGCTAGAGATTGGGAATGCAGAGGAGTTCGTCCCAGCATTCGAGCAATTCATGCAGAACCAGGGAATACTGCAAAGCGAATGGATGACGACATTACCCCTGTGGACCCGAAAGGCGGAGAGACCTTTGGCCAGACAGATCAGGGGCATGGCCCAAGATTGGGATAGTTGTAGAGCGCACTTGAGGGCGGCATTCCGGCAGCCAGAACCACCTTGGCCTAGAGTCGAAAGGCGCCTTAGGAGCAGCAGGCAGAGGGAACCTGAGCCCGCGGAGGACCGAACCTCGCGGAGAGGACGGAAGGCGCTTGCTAGGCGGGAAGAGGAGGACGTGCCTGAGGCAGAACGACAGGAGGAGCACCCCGAGGGTGGACTGGGGCCGGTAGAGTTCCACCGCTATACTAGAGGAGGACTGGGGGAAGCGCCACAGCATAAACAGGAAGAGATACCGATCGTCGAAGGGTTATTGCAAGAGTTAGAGGCACACCTGGACGCTGCCCAGTGGAGAGAGCCGCCGATGAGTGAGGGGCGCATTGAGGCCATCACGGAGGTACCACAAGAGGACGTTCCAGACCCTGAACAAGAGGAGGAGCCGAGTGCTACGAAAGATCGGATTGGGGACGAGATCATAGAAGTTGAGGAAGACACTCCCCCTCAGGGACCAGCCGTGGGGCTGAGGCTCGGTAGTCCACTCGAGAGCCCGCCAGATACGAGGAAGAAAGTACAAAGGGAGGAAGTCTCGATCTCGGTGCCGGAGACAGCCCTATCGCCGACAGGAATGGAGGCAAGTGAGGCGGAGGGGGCCAGTCTGAGAAGGGAGGCAGACAGCCTGATTGATAGCCATCTGGCCGCCCATGCTCTGGAGCAACCTAGTCTGGAAGCGGTCATACCTGCGGAGTCACCCCGGGAACCAGGTCAGACCGAGAGAGAGGTGGAAACGGGGATCTCGGGGGAAGTCGAACAACGCACGGTAGAGGAAGTACCAGCGAAAGCAACGGCTGAGGAGAAACGGGCTAGAGTGGCAAGACGCTGGGAGGAAATCCGGCAGGAGGGGCAAAGATTGGAAGCAGCGGGGGTACTCCCAAGTCCGCCACCGCCCTACAAACCATATGGGCTCCGGGAGATGTGGGAAGAGTTTCTTGCTCGTCATGGCGAAGGGTTGACGACCCCAGGCAAGGCGGAGGTCGAAACCTCACAGAGAGTTGATGAGTATTTGGATCACAGGATTCGCTCCGTGTCCGAGACCTCCTTTGACAGGTATATGATGTTGGAGGCAGATCTGAGAAGGAGGGAACTGAAGGAAGCAGGGCTGGAGTCACGGTTGGGGACCGTTGAGGCGGAAGTCCGTGAGCTCAGGGCTCTGGTGGCTAGCCAGGCCGCCACCATCCTGGAATTGACGCAGCAACTCCATGGCAACAGGGATGGGGCGAAGAGTAGCAGGCCAGGAGAGCAGAGTCAGCCAAGACATGGCGTATCAGAGCAACCAGTTGTGGCCGAGCCTCAGCAAGAGGCACCTATGGGAAGAGTCATTTTGGAGCCTAGAGGCCAAGAGGAAGGCTGAGAGGGAAGCCTTCGAATTCAGAGCCCCTACGGAGCTTGCGGTGCTACCCACGATGGCTGCAGGCCCTGCCATGCCACCGTCGCTTGAGGAAAGGCTGCCCTCGGCCAGTGATGAGCCCCTCCAAGGCTCGACAGGAGGATCCATGGACGTGCTGCTGGAGGCAGTCCACACTATGCAGGAGGATGCGAGCTTGTTTTCACCAGAATCCAGGATGGAGCAACCTCTTGAGAGCGAGGTGGGAGGTGCAATAGAAGACATCATCGCACGCAGGCCCCAGAGGTTGGATACTCCTGACTATGAGCCAGAGGGAGCAAGGGCGCAACCAGGGCCCAGTCCGCGAGAGTCGAAGGCAGGATTTGAGAGACCCAGGGACGTGCCTCAGTGCCATGAGTTGGACAGAGAGGCCTATGAGACCCCATCGCCAGCAGGGCCCCAGCGGAAGAAGAAGAGGCCAAGGAAGTCTTTCGACTCGACCTGCTTCTATTGTACGAAAGAAGAGCACAGGGCATTATAGTGCCTCAAATTCCTAAAGGACCAGGCAGACGGGAAGGTCTCGGAGTATGATGGGAAGATGTATGATAGGCAGGGTAGAGTGGTGGAACGAGTTGTAGATGGGGGTAGAGCTCAGTTGTACAGGCAGAACCAGGAGGAGATGAGTGAGTAGGGTCTGGTTCACCTGATTTAAAAACTGGATATTTCTTTGACGATTTTGCTATTACTTAGGCAGGGTGGACACCTACGACGTTGAGTGTGTAGATGGGACCTACAGCATGGGATGGCCGCTGTAACTAGGATCATGTAAAATAGGGGGCGTACACTAAGTGGCAATAGAATACTGAGTTGTTTTGGGGATTCCCTGTACAGATATCCATGTACTATATTCAGGGTGGGGTGAGTTGTTTTGTGTGGGTTTGAAGACAAGGTTACCCTGGGGATTTTAGGATGAGATATCTCATCCCTGAGTGTATATCTAAGTTGAGTGAGGTTTGAGACTATCCTTTGTACATGACGATCACACTCACTCTCACATGTGTGAATTTATCCGGATGTATGGTGAATGTTGAATGTATGAACGACATCTTGAATGTTGTGCACCATGCGAATGGAATGTATGTGAACTGCCTACTCTCCGGTATACTTGTGCGATCTGCCCGCAGGCAGGTAACGGGGCCAGGTATAAGGAGAGGGAGTGCAGTCTGTCCTTGTGAAAGTATAAGAATTCCATGGATTTGTGAGTCCTTGAGACTCAGATGCTTGCCATGCCGAATGTATGTTGTCGAGTTGTGATGAGGACCCATAAGTTGGTCTCTCAAGTCTGAGTTGTGCTATGGTAGGGGTGCCTTGGTTTTTGAGGAGGCAACCCGCTGCATGCTGGGAGACCTGTGGAGTGAGACCTCCCTCGTATGAAGGGTGGTTACCAGATTGGTGGCATGGTAAGCAAGGTTGGTATGATAAAGCCTGACGAGAAGGACCATGTTTGTTGCTTGGCCACTGTTGAGAGTTTGGAGAGGTCGCTAATAGTTTCCTTTGGGGGATGTCACTGGGATGCGTGGCTTCCTGCTCTGATCACGTAAGGAAGTCACGGCCTTGTGCAACTGGCGGTGATTCTGTTTGTAAATGTGGAGAGGTTGCCACGATCCCCTGTGTTGTCCCACAGAGGGCTGGTAAATACCTTTTACGTATGACAGACCTCTGCGTAGTCCCGCAATGGGCTTGTATTGTTGCGACCCACCGTCCAGCCACATGTGCTAATCCTGAAACATGTATGAGAATACCCTGCTAACGATAGAGTTTAGCATCACTGGGGCGCAACCCCTAGTGTCGGTTGCTGATCGGCACAACCTGACCAGCGGGCCTACATCGGGCCTAGGGAGTAAAGACTTAAACGGGTGTGGCCACCTAGGAGGGTTTTACTCCTGCGGACCGGCGTGGGATAAAGGTCGAGTCGAGTCTTTTTTTGAGTCCTGATTGAATGTTTATCAGGAGAAAGCCTATCGCGACGCAACCTGCGAGGGCACCACCGCTAAACTAACAAGCGTGGTAGGCCGTAGACCTGGCACGATCACCCAGACTGCGGTGGGCCAAGATGGAGACCTAGCCTACCTGTACTAGACTGCAGGAGGTGAGTTCAGGTGATTTATATATATATATATATTTGATTGTGAGAATTGTGGGAGGAAGGCGAAAACGCCTTCTTAGGTCTCGGTTAGGGCCCGCGCCCTTGGTCGAAGTCCTGTTCGCAGGATAGGGGCCAAGGGCACCTAACGAGAAGTCGGCGGTTGTCTAGGACAAAAGGGAGAGGACGGGTAAGAGGGGCCGTTGAGACTTATGTTGTAGTACGTATGTCTAGCACACCGGCGTCCTAGTGTCAGGACAATGGAGACCCAGGTTAGAACCCTGGCGGCATATAGTTACAAGGGCTTGGATTGTTGGAGGCCTCAACCCTGAGTCTGTCGGCTGATCGGATTGGTTCCTGTCTCGTCAGCATTTGGAGTTATGGAGGAATTTGTAGCTTTCGATCTGGCGAAGTGACAGGGACGTCGCTTAATATGGTCCGGTAACGTGAACCACAATAGCTATGGGGCCAACGTTCGAGGGAGCGTCGCGGTCGTGGATCGTTCGTTGCAACGCGAAAGGATCTCCAGAGGTAGATCATCCACGAGCTGGGCCAGGAACACCAGCACTTCGTTCGTAATCGGCTCGAGATTTTCGTCGCGCACCTTTCCAAAGAGTATCCCCACCAGCTCCCCCTCCGTGTCCGTCCTCCAGGCTTGGGCGATCAGCAGCTCCACACCATCATCGAGAACTTCATCTTCCTCGTCTTTATCTGTCGGCTCGGCCCAATGAAACACCAGCTCGAGAAGACAAAAACTGAGTGCAACGTACGCGTGCCACCACTCCGCCCACTTGCTCGCGACCAAGATTAGTACGTCCAGCCGCCTGATTCGAAAGGAGAGGGAAGGGCCCGTAGCGGACTGCCAGAAGATAGGGAGATCAGAAGGAAGCTTAAAGGTCGAGAGGTGGTGCCGGTTCATTGAGGCAATGTAAAAGGGAGAAGTTGCGGGAGGACGATCTCCGGCGCGTCAAGAGAGATCCGGAGTTGGCTGAGGTCAATGTCGCTGGTGGAGTTTATCTGATCGCCCGGTTGGGCTAACAACTGGACCCAGACAGTCGTGAGATCCCATGCCCAAAGTCGCTGCCGGAAGACACCTGTATGAGCCGCTAGATGCAAAGCCGTAAGATCGTCGGTGAAGGCGACGATCACTGTCACGTGGCTGACACCTGGTGGAGACAGTCGCAGGAAAGCCAACACCTCAGCCAATACTCTTGCTCGCTCGTTGGTTCTCGCGAACCGAAACCCTGCCGCCGCGTGGATGGCTGTCGTACTGAAGAAAGTCGCGAATCGGAGCACATCTGGACTTAATCGTGGTCGTTGCACCTGTAGTATCGACGAGATGTGGCCCCCGGGTCTCATTAGTCATTCGCTGATGACCTGCTCAGTAGAAAAGCTCATGGCGATGGGGGAGAAGGTGGAGATGAAAGCTGGGAGGGAGGAGAGTCAGAATATTCAAGTTCAAGGTCGTTGTCTTCTTCTTTGGAATCGAGGGAAGACATGGACAAGGGGAGAGACGGAGGAGGAAGGGGACGAAGATAGGACACGTGTCGGATGATCGGTCGAGCCGATCGACTTGCCGACACCTCTGGCGCAAGCCTCACCGTGTTCACTACGCTAGGACCGAGCTCGACTACGCGAAATCACCCGAAGAATCGTGGTGCTATCTTGCCTTGGGGAGCACATTTCCTCACCTGCACTACGTCCCCCAATTTGTACTGGGGTCGGGGTCCAACGTTCTCATTTCGGGCCTTGTAGCTCCGGACCTATCGTCCGTGGGCCATTTCGGTCATTCGCTGTCTCTTTCGGGCACAGGGGTAGGGCCCTTTCCATCAATTCTAGGTGGCGTTGGGCCTTATCCTTAACCGTTGCTCTAGTGGCTCGTCGCGGAAGGGTCTTTTCGTCATTTAGGCTCGGTAGGGCCACACAGGCCAAACTATTGGTTCGCAATTGGAAGGGGGTCAGGCTGGTAGACTCGTGGGGTGTTCCCCGGTGAATAGCCAGGATGTGGTCCACGATATCGGGCAAAGCCCTCGTGTCTTTCGCCGCGATATTACGCCTCAATGCCGTCTTGATTACTCGGTTCGTGTTTTCTACCAGTCCATTCGATTGCAACATATGGGGGGCAATATTGACACCATGTAGGACCAGGGTCCTCAGGAGTTCCCCTATGAATTCTGCCCCGTTGTCCGTCAGGATCTCCTTTGTGTCCTAATGCATTCCGAGAAAACGGTTGACATAGTGCGCGATCTCCGCCGCCTGTCGCGTCTTTCACGGATACGCCTCGATCCATTTAGAGAAATGATCCACAAATACCAAAAGGATTAAATATTCACAGTTATTTGGCCTAGGGGGCACGACAATATCCGTGGTATCCATACTGACCCTTTGGAACGGTCGTTCAACTACGGTGGGCACTATCGATCACGGGGCCTTGTCGGCGGCACAGACCAAACAATTTCGGACGATGAATTTAACATCGTCACGAATATTGGACCAATACCATTCATTGTTATCAATCGCCGCCTCCGTAATCCGGACGGCGAAGTGGGCTGCAGTGTCCTCGTGCGCCGACTTAACCCAATCATACCTCATGAACGGATGAGCCACGGCCATCCAGATTCCACTACCATCCGTCTTTCGCTTTTCTAACCGCCCCTCGCTCCATCGGTAATCCTGTGCCCTCTCATTGGCCCGCCTCTGATCCTGCTTAGTAATTCTCAAAGGGGGTTCCCAACTACCGCGGCAATCAAAACGCCATTTGTCCATACTTCAGCCCTCCTAAACCTACGAGTCTTTTCCAATCCCTCGGACGTGGCTTCGAGGAATCGAGCTTCGGTCGAGATCTTATCAGTCTGACATAAAGGGCATAGCCAGGTTTTGTCTGCGTTCCTGTACTGAATACAGGAGTTGTGGGCCCTG